AGTGGAAGGAATTACTTTCAAGTTAGGAGTATAGCTTACAACACTAAATAGCTTATGGGTTCCAATTAAGTACATGGATCACACACTTGATAATTACCAGGACCAACTTATCAGCACTTTTTTGGGAAGCAGATATGAAAATAATTTTGAAGACCTATGCACCAAGTGTGAGAGATAAATATAATGGTGAATATGCATGTTAGAGTGCAGCAAGAGCAGGGCTGCTGCAAGAGGAAAAATGAATGAGAAGCCAGTGGCGGTCATGGCACAGTCTTGTCACAGACTAGGGCACTGTCCCACCATATCTAAACAGGCTGGGCAGAGTAACATACTGATAACAATGTCCGTTGACAGTCCCAGAAAAAGTGAGGTGACAAACAAGGCCCATGGTCCATCCTAGGAGTCCAGTCAGGAGCAGCAGCAGATAGATGCAGATACAGGGCTGGAGATAAGATTGCAACATGGGTCATAATAGTTCTGGAGACAGAACTTAAGGCAAACTACCTACAAGGCAGATCAATGTTCATGCAGAAAACAAGGCCAGAGGCAAGACCTGAGACAGGTACACTGACAGCACAGTTCAGGCAACGACTAAATGTCTAGGCCCAAGCTTAAATGGAGTGTCTAAAGCAAGGAGCACGTGTGGGGTTCCAGGGCTGACCACGGCAATTAAGGTGCAGTAGTGGACTCAGGGCTCTCGGAGAGCAGTCTGTAACATCAGTAAAGATATATCTGAAAATCTGAGACCAAGGAGGCCATACAATCAGTGTCACAAAGACAGATGAAGCTTTATTGCACCATGACTGTGGTCACATTTTACTGATGAGCAAGGAAGGTCCACATCAATGCCTGAAAGCTTTGCAGAAAAACTGAAATCTGCCATGGGCAAGAAAAAGTTACACTACTACTGCACATTCTAGAACATCTCTTAGGAAAGTGGCTCTTTGGATGAATCATGCAAGGGAAAAAGCAAACTACTGCAGAAATCTGAACAGCTGATTTTTCTCAGTATCAGCCAGTCATGAAGATGAGGCTATTCATGTAACTTTGCCAGCAAATGTGAGCTGGTGCTATAACTAGGTGTTTAGTCAATATTCTAAATGCATTTAACAATGTGAAGAGGACAACACTTTGAATTTATAGTTTTCTCTTAACATAATTAATGAAGGAAACTTTCTTTCTTCTAGATGTTTTAATACACTGAATTATCTGATCAACAAGTGGGAGGAAGTGAGAAATTAGAAGGATCCAGACAAAATTAAAAACTGTCATGTGAAATTTAAGTGACATATGAACATATTACAGCAGCTGGTAATTAGTGTAGTCTGACATTTTGTGTTCTTACAGGTTTACTGTGTAAGGGAATGGAATTTTCCTAATCCCTAAATTTCTACATACTTTCTATGCATTGGTTTTACAGCACTAGGATGCTGAAATATCTGTCTCTCACTGCCCTACATGTTCATGAACATAGTCAATATAAACAGGCGGTACTGGCAGATAAGGAGGCTTAGTGATTAGAGATTTCTGATATATAGTCTGGGTGATCTATAGGACTCACTAACTTATGTCGTTCCAATCAAGACTTTCCAAAAAGATTAAAATTAATTAAGTGGCGACAACTGGTATAGATCCCTATGAATCATTGCCAGATTCCTGAGTTCAGATGGAGTTGTGATGTCTCTGAAAGACATTCAATAAACAGACAGCAGACAGAGGTAGAATGATAAAGTTTCTTGTGCCTTATGAACAATTAAGAGTCTACAATGATTCATCATACAGAACACAAACTCATTCACAACATGTAAGCATGCATCAAGCTTTTGTACCTCCTGATAATTAAATGTTTGTCTGACTCTTTCTTGGTAATCCTGAAGGTCATAACTGTAATGTTCTCTTTCAGTTTTCCATTGCACCTCAATCTAACTCCTGTTTTCTGCTTCCACCTTGGACCCAAGAGAAAGTATTTTCCTTTGTTCTCCAAGTAGCCATTCTTTTAGACAAGATAGACTTAAATTTCTCTTCAAAATTCTTTGGAATCTAGTCAAAGGTCATTATCTTACCCTAATGTATTTATTCATAAAGCCTTATAGTTTATTATCCTAACCTGGAAGAAGAGTAGCCAAAGTTAGTTCTTCTTCCAAAAAGATCTATTCTCCTTGGTTCTTTATTCATAAGTCTGCTTTGTAGATTGTCTAGAGCTTTTCTTAGCTACAGTTATAAATGAGGGGAATGCAGAAGTATAAAAACATTTGAAATCTTCAGATGAACCTTTACATATTCATGCATTTCAAAGCAAATGAAGCACAAGTCTGAGTAAATCCAAACGCCACTAGCAGTGTCCAAGATTCCCTCATTTATTGGCAAGATGACCTGGCTGCGTGAGGTTGGCTGACAAGATCAGAAAGCTAAAATGCCTTTTCTTGTACCACCTTCAGAGGAACCCGTAAGATTTTCTGGCATTCTCTGAAGCAATCTTGGAATGCCTCCAGATCATCAATAGTGAAAGAGAGAGACAGATTCATGGCTTTATTCAGTAAGGATGATGAAAATGGAAGTTGCAAAATACTCTCATATATATATATATATATAAAAGTTAAATTAATTCTCACTGGAAAAAAAAATGTAGTTTGATAATACAGACTGAGTGGAACTCAGATTAAAAAAAAATTGATATATTCAAAACCTATAAAGCCACAGGCCAGGATAACAACTCTGAAGATTTACTCTAAGCAAAGATCAAAAAAAATCCCTGAGCATCCTGCTGTGATTCCTGAGTCAATTAAGAGAACAGGAACACATGTCAGAAGAGTAAAAAAAGCAACCATCAATGAAATTGAATAAAGAAAAACTAAAGAGTCCCAGGGAAACTAAGCAGTGTTACTCTGAAAACTATTCCCCATGCTTTCAACTGCAGCTTTCTAGAGCACCATGCTGAAGATTTTTTTTCCTATTTAATCAGAATTTTGGACTTTACAGTATTATTAAATAAGGTAACAATGGATTGAAATCATGAAGGGCAACAAGCAAATTAAACAAAAGCAAAACAATTTTCACTGTGGATGTTTAGAGTAAATATTTAGAACAAAAATCAACAAACAATAAAGTTGAGATCCCACGATTAGTGTTATTATCCACAGCACTGCAAACAGTATAAATGAGAAGCTGGACTTACCTTCGCTATATTTCAAGAACACTGGACAAACATTTCACTAAACAAACCCTATTCTGGCAAACCCAAAGCAGAAACAAAAAGAGGTCATTCCACAGGGACCATTCAAAACACAGTAATGGCTGATGCACCAACTTTACAAATCAACAGCTTTAAGAGATTAAAGGTACTGGCCTACCATAAGATTGTATAGGAACTAATGTCCCCTTTAAGCACCCAACGGTGCAAGAGATGGACTGAATTTGATTGGACAAGACTATGAACAAAGAAAAAAAAAAAAAAGGCAAAAGTTTTCAGTAGTCTGTGTAACTGTATAGTAGACCTAACACTTCAGTAGAGACTCATTCCAAGTTCAGATAGAGCTTTCCAAACTCAGCCATGTCAATTTTATTTATGTGTAAAACACCTGCTGAAGAACACTTTTCTTCCTTCTGAGAACTCAAGAATAGATTTTAAAATACAGAAGACTCAATCTCTGTTTTGAGCAATGAGAGAAAATTTAATTTTAAAATTTTTTTTTTCCTGAAAGGTGAAGTGAAAGGGAAAAATAATGATTTATTTTCTCCATTTCTTCTCCACAACAGTTACTACCACTGTGTAATGTGTAACAAACACACACATATACATAATACCTAATACCCTTGAAAAAAGTAATTCAAGTCATTAAGGACTTGAGTTACTTTTTTGAAGTTTGGCTAATAGAACTCAGTGGACATAAGAATACATCAACTTTGCCAAATTAAATATAGAGCAAGAACATGCATAAATTATTCCTCTCTTCCCAGGACATATTCATATATTTGATTGCCCAGATTTTACACTTTAACTATTTTACCATTCACCTGCTCTACTTATATTAGCATTTAGAAACAAAGAGATAGATAAGTGATCTGTGAAAAGCTTTCTACTTTTTCATTACTCTTCAGCAACACAGTGTGAATGGCTTATTAGAAAAACATAAGAAGGTAACAGATTCCAACCCCTGCAGTCTCTAGTTTCATTACTTTTTGACATTCAGTGCAGGTAATACAGCAATGCTTTTGGCAAGAACATATATGCCCCCTATAGATTTAATGTATTCTTTCCACAGAAAGATGGAAATAAATGAAATATTCATTAAGCATTTCCTAAATAGAAAATTCAGTACTAAAAAAAAGAAATTATATCTTTCAATAAACATGTTTACATACACACAAAACAAATATAAAATTATTCTTTAAAATATAAACATCCTCCTATCCAAAACCCTTTGCTTTTAAACATAATTCTCTTAGCCTGTGCAACAGAGATTGCCCCAAGTATTTCCTGTCCTGAGCAATGTTCCCTTCCCACCACTATCTCCCTTTGTCCCACGGCTTTCCCAATTACAACACTGAAAGGTTTTTAGCAAGTATAACACTTTGTTCTGAGTTTATGATAATGTATTATGCAAATTCATAGCACTACATACATGATTTGTCATTACATACAATTACGTTTGTATTTTAAAAGCTGTATCATAAATTTTACCTCCTTTAGCAGTAATGATATGCCATTAGCATTCAGTTCAATATAATATTTTATATATACAATTAGATCTACAAAGGTAGGTAAACATGGGTGATAAATCTTGACCATTTAATGGCACAAAACTAACTACTCTTGAAGAAGCAGCATTTAGTTTGGTCTCTTAAAATTAGTAAATTCCAAGTAGCCTTTAATTTTCTTTTATAAAGACCTGACTGTAGATTTGATTCCACCTCCAAATTTCTAGTGGTATATCACAGCAAGGATAACAATTCTGAATAAAGCAAGGAGTTTTATTCCAAGGTACCTAATTCAGCCTTACCTCAGAGTTCTTAAATCCCAGAGTTTGATGCCATCACCTGCAGCTGTGGTCATGAAAAGATTGTAAGCTTCGGGTTGCTGAGTACTGAAGGATGACCCCTGTAAAAGGTGAAATCAGTTTCAGGTAACTATTCTTGTAGCACAAAATATTTACAGAACCAAAGAATCGTAGAATACCTCAAGGTGGAAGGGACCCACAGGGATCAACAAGTCCAACTCCCTGCTGCTCTCAGGACTATCTAAAACTGAACGATTTGACTACAAGCATCATGCAGACACTCCTTGAACTCTGACAGGCTCAGTGCTGTGACCATTTCCCTGGGGAGTCTGTTCCAGTGACCAACCACGATCTCAGTGAAGAATTTAGTCAATTCGAAAAATAAACAATAAGTGTTTGTTAGATTATGTGTAAAAAAGCTTGTTCACCCACACACAAAGGAGTGCAGAAGAAATTTGGCATGTGGAGGAACCTCTGTAACCCAGTCAGAGGAATGGAGCACTGCCTCAACTCCTTGCAGTGTTGTCCCACAACACCCATGTGAGCCATTTGGCCCAGGAGTGACACCCATCATGACGAGTCAATGGGAGAGGCTCTCCAGGTCATCTCATGGACTGCTGTAGATTACTACTTACTGGGGTATGGGATCCTTTATGGGATTCATGGGAAGATAATTTTGTGATTGGACAAGACAATATTTATTTAAGGTAGGAAATAAAGGCAGGAAAAGGGAGGGATCAAACAGTAGTTCAACATTTAATTATAAGCCATGTTTAATTTTGGCATAATGCATATACTTTTCATTGACTTCAGTAGCAATTACATTCATCCATAACAGAACTGATTCTGGCTTTGTACCTTTAAATAATTAAACCCAGTCTATCTTTAAAACTCTGATTTTTTAACATCCACATTGGCAAATCCTTCCCTCTTCACTGGCTACAAACTTGTTTCTCCAGGGAACTAAACGTAAACAGTTAGAACTCCTTCTTTCCTTTCCCCACCATTCACATTCTTGTTCTGGCTAAATACATCACAGAAACCTCAAGGCCATTTCCCGCAATCAGTGCTTGACTGCCAGGAATCTTCTATTTGTTATGAAAACTGGCATATAACTGGAAAATGCTTTAGCATTTAGTCAATAGAATTTCCCAAATGGCAAAACAAAGTGGGGCACTCAGCATTAAAAAGACTATAGGATCTTCCATTTATTTTGCTTAAAGTGGGTTTCCTTCCTAAACTGAGGATTACCACAGCTGCTCTCACAGATGAACTAAAATGCACCATGTAACAAATTTCCCAACAAAGTCTACATAATTTCACATTAGCTGTAACTATTAAAAAAAAAAAGAGTAATTGTAAAAAAGAAAGACAGTAGGTGTCTAAAGGATAGTATTCATTAAAAGTTACAGAGCACACTTTCTTTTTTGCTTTTGAAACTTTTGCTCACCATCCCTTTCTTCAGTCAGCAATGATCTCAGAGCCTAATACAAAAAGTTCTACAGATACATACACTTTTACTTCATGCACTAGTTGGAAATCACTGGTTGAATTTGATTCTATGAATAAAACAGCTTAAAGGAATGTCAACACCAGCCTATCACTGAAAAGTGGGAGATTTCCACCAGTTCCCTTAGGCTAGAGAAGAACAATGAACCTCTTTCCCCCAGCTCCTAAGCACACACTTTGAAAATTAAGCTATTAAATGAACCTGCAGCAGTATCACCACCACATCTGCACAGGACCATGTATTTAGCCCACTTTCCCAATGAAATTACGCTTATGCAACCGTACCGCCTGCTGATTCCCAGCTTTTAACCTGCTTCACTATTTAAATCCAATCTGACAGAGAGATAATGGTCTTATGATAATTATGTTTCCACAAGATACATGTAAATGAGTAATTAGCAAACAGAAATTAAAACTAGCACAGACATTAAGAAAAGTGATTTGCTTTGGCAAGTCATTAAACAGCCAATACAAGAGTAACCTAGAACACACATGGAGTATGGCATGCCTCTCAGCCAGCTAGTAATAAGGACAGCACAAGAAGATAAGGCTGTGATAGGGGAGGAGTCCTTAGGGAACACAGGGAACAAAACTGAAAGTGCATGCGGTGGGGAGGTGAAGGTTATAAAGAACACAATAGTCAAGTTTCCATGGCGGATTTGGAAGGCGATATTTAAGAACACAGGATTTAGAAAGGATGCTCAATTAGTTTTGTTACTGCTGCAAGAACCTGCATAGAAAGACAGAGAAGCTTTGTATTATCATCATATGGTATGTCCTATACTTCAGGGGAAACTGGTGCCAAAAAGCTTTTTAAGGAAACCAAAATACACTGAGGTTTAGAATAATAAACATTAATATGCTCAATTAGATCAAGATTATAGATGTTCTAAACAAGCAGTGTAAGGCCTAAAGTTCTGCAAGCAATTTAGTTGTGTAAGTTTTAATCAGACATAGAGGTTCAAGGGTTAGGCATGGCTTTTGTGTCTTCCTCTGCTGGACTTTGGTAAACTAAATTGCACTACTGTACATCCAGGATTAAGCGTTCTTTATATATTAAATCCTAAATAGCTGTACTAATCTAAAGTAGATGGCAAATGGGAAGAAATGTGCCACATGTAATACAAATATATAAACAAAAATCTGATGGTAAGCATACTACCCAGAACAACCTCTTCCCTAGGTGAGGGGGGTTTTCTTACAATTTTGCCCTACTTTCTCTTTTCCTTTTACTGATTTATTTTGTCCAATACTTTAGATTTGTCATAGCCCCATAAATGTAGGTCTAAAATGGCCTTTTAATAAGTTTCAGAATATCTATCTCCCATCAGAGAGATGCTTGCTGCATTCTTGCTCTGATTTCCCTTCCCTCATGTTGACAAAATAACAAAAATTCACAATGCAAAATACTGTTCTATAGAATATAAGGCAAGACCTGAATAAAACATAATCAAGCCACTGGAATACTATAGATGGAAAGGTATAGTCTGAAAATATTTATATGTTGTTGGCAGACATACATATACAGTGTGTGTATATAGACACACATTACTTTTAATCACTGCTGCAATTTAAGGGTTTCAAATTAAACAGGGTAGTATTAAAATATTTGGCTGTTCCTACAGTTAACAGAGACACAGAAGAAAAGATAAAGTACAGCAACATCTACTTTCCATCATGATGCTGTGTTAGTGTACAGATATATTTTCATTGTATTCCTTATTCTTCATCTCACTATAAATATGTAACAATATAGCACAGCTTCTTGTGCAAATAAAGAAACTACTGATTTTAAAGATTTACCAGCCAAGATTTTTTCTTACATTTCTGTCTGCTCAGAGTCACAGTAACAACTATTTTCCCCCCAACTTCCATGCAATTTTTATAATTTATTTTCAGCATTATACTGTTGATTTTTTTATTTCTGAAGTAAACCTTTGCATTAAAAGCTGGGTTTAAAAGAAGACTTTCTAACTGTGCTATTGCATTTAATTTAAAGTTGTTTAGAATTATTCTTCATATTAAAGCAGAATTCCCAGCCTTCCACAAGTGAGCTTCACTGATGCTGCTCTCTTTGCTTCCCTGCATCCTTCTTCTTATGTCCATTACCTCCCTAAACCTAGTTTCTTCCAGTCTTTGTATTTAACAGGAATTAACAAGAATGTCCTGCTCTTCACCTGTTTCCAGAATATCTTATTATTTATTTAATAATTTGCTAACAGGATTCTCCCACACTTAATCAGAACATATCTTCCTTAGCGTTTTACAAGACCTTCTAAATAGATTTCCCTTTTTTTTATTTATTTAAAGAATAAATCTGATAATCCTCACTTACTACTGTCCAGGTAGCATCACAAAGTAGTCTTGGAACATTGGAACTAATTTTCACAAATCTAAACGAGAAAATGCACTTCAAGAATATATATATTGTAATCGCCTATGAGCATTCAGTCCACAAGGCAAAATTAGGGCTAGTCCAAAGGAAAGCCTTCATAAATTTTGTTGTGTAGGCACTGGATCTTCAGTATCAACTGTTTCACTCCACAGATTTGCTCCTATTGTACCATCCCCCATGAGTAGCTAGCCTTAGACTCCAATAAGTTTTACGCTTTAGACAGAACATAATTTACACACAGCATTCTGCATATTTTTCAAAGTATATAAAATTTTTAGGGTATTTTCTTAATGTAAATGCACTGGGTTATATTTACTCTAACAGCTACAAAGTATACAACTAACAAAACAGTTGATGTGTAATTTTCCTATTGACTTATCTAAAGTATTAATTTCATATAACTGAAAAAAAAATAGAGAATCTTGATCTGTAATTTTAAAAAAAATTGTCAGTTTTCTTTGCTATACCACATACTTTTAGGCTTTTTCCCAAGTGAATACTTGCCCATAGCTTTAAAGTTTTTCTTGATTAAATAACCTGAAGCCACTAAGCTGACCAAGCAAAAAGAAAAGCCAGAACTTGAAGCCTATATGTGTTACAAACAGTACTGAAATAGTTAGCACAATTTTAAGTATTTTACCAGATCACAACTCTCAGGAAAACCCACAAAGAGTTCTACAGAATAGTAATAAGGAATTGTTTTAAACCCACAGAAGCAAAGAATTTCCAACTGGGGATGAGGGCCCATATTCAATCAAATCTAACACAGTAGGCATTCCAGTGTGTATGGTACCATAAGACCCCCAAACATTCAAATCAATCTTCAAGCAATTAAAAAAAAAAAAAAAAAAAGCAAGGATGAGGGGTTTTAAGTCTGTTCTGGTGCAGTACTGATCAATTTATTTTTTTTGTGTTGCAGTTTCTGAAGTTTCAGAGTAAATCAGATGACTTCAGATTGAACTTTAGAAGAGAACAATTACATTAGGAAAAGTTCCTGCTGCACTACAGTATTACAGTCAAGTAAGGCTAAGGGTAATATACAGTCCCCTGATAGCAAACTTGTTCATTCATTCTAACAACTTCCTGCTTTCCATTAGATAACAAATGAGACCTTGCCCATCCTTCCCAACATATAAATATCCTATTACTATCAATAATATTTTTAGCCTCCAATTTCTTTGTTGATGGAGTTGTAGTGGTACTACAAATAAAATTCAGTAAAGTATATACCTTATTTTGGCAGATCTGATGGACCGATCTAGTATGAACTTCTGGTATCACTGCTGTGCTGCAGCCTGCATTGAGGTCAAAAACTTCCAGTGCTCGGTTGCTACCAGCTGTAAGTACAATATCTGCACAGTTCTCTGTGTTAAAGTTAATCTGATCTAAAGGTACAAAAGCACAGATAGAAAAAAAGACAGATAAATAGCTAACAAGACTCTGCTGTATTTACTGCTCTATGAACAGCATCAAAAATTTTACAGTCTGAAAAAGCTTATGTCCAGGTCTGAAGTTCAAGACTACAAAAAAATACAGCATTTTTACTCTGATAGAAAAAGCGTAGTAAAGAATCAAACGTTAATTACTTTATTTCCATGAAATTAAGTCCAAAGAATTATTAAGAAAATAAGAGATATAAAGGATACAAGAGTAGAATTCATTTACAGCTGAAAGGCTGGTAATCTCCATTGTTGAAGCCATGGGAAATTTCTGTACCAATTTGCAAACGCTTCTCTGTTTATATCTGCAAAAAATACCCAATATCCTATGAATGCTAGTGTTAATGAAATAAGTTATGATTTGTGGCCACCAGTAAACTCCTACTGGAATCACAAAGCAAAACAAGATGCTCTCCATTATCAAAAATAAAAGCCACAAATCTTTTGACTTGTTGCTAAACTCTATTAAAAACTTGGTAACAAAACTCATTTGGATGAAAAGAAACATGACATTTCATATACATAAGATAGGTCTTCCATCAACATGAAACACTGAAATAATCATGTATGTATATTGTATATTCAATACACCAGTTTCAGTTACATAAAAAGGAAAAGAATCACTTCATCTTCTGGAATGCTTAGAATTTATCATAATTGAAAAATATTATCTCTCTTACACCATGGATGAGAGTGGATGTCATTCTATGACCCTATATAATGAATCTTATCTATAGGAAAATATGATAAACACCAGAAAATCTAAAGCATTTAGAGATGGTTGCTGTTAGAATCTTATAGAATCATACAATCATAGAATGGTTAGGGCTGGAAGGGACCTTAAGATCATCTAGTTCCAACCCCCCTGCCATGGGCAGGGACACCTCACACTAAACTATGTCACCCAAGTCTCTGCCCAACCTGGCCTTGAACACCGACAGGGCTGGAGCATTTACCACTTCCTTGGGCAACCCATTCCAGTGCCTCACCACCCTCACAGTAAAGAACTTCTTCCTTATATCTAACCTAAACTTCCCCTGTTTAAGTTTGAAACCATTACCCCTTGTCCTACCATCTTGTTAGAATTTGTTTTTTGACTTAGGTACTTCTCATCTAGTTTCCATTCTGTTTCTGATAAAAAACAAAGAGTGTTTAAGTTCTTTGATCTAAATGCTAAAGCTCAAAGGAACTAAGCTTAGAATATTTTTATTACCATACTGCCAAATCAGGTCTGTATAGCCCATTTGCTTAAAAAGTTTAAACTGGCCTAAAGTGTTTTGGATGAAAATAATTATCTTCTTAAACATTAACTTTCCAGGAGTACCTGAAATAATCACTCTCCTATATATAATTAGCATGCATTTTAAACCCACTTAGCATGGCCTTTGCTCTATCCATCTACAATACGTTCTATCATAGTTTCCCATTTAATCAGCATAGGCATTTTATCATTACTTCCCTTGCTGTATGTATAATTACTACAACCAGCTGCTAAATATAATGACTTTTAAAGGCATTGTTTCTGTTAATGGAACACATTTTCTCCTTTTCAAACTCTTTTCAATTTGTTCATGCTGATCTTTAAAACAACATATAAAACTAAAAATGAGGTAACAACCCATACATGTTTTGTTCTGCTTATATTCATACGTGAATTAAAAATAGTTAGGAAACAAACAAAAAATAAACAGCACATTATACTTCATATTGGCATGCACAACTACTGTTGTGCATGGAAATTCAATAGTAATTTTGGAGAACGTAAATAAAATCATTTAGGTTGTGGATAGTTTTCAGATTAATCATAGAAGCGGGACTCAGGATATCTGTATCTTATTCACAGGACTGCGATAAATCTCTTCTATGGCATTTGTAAATAAGGATATATTTAAATAAGCCAGTAAGGAATATAACATTCTTTTTAGTTATTTCCACTTCTCAGTTTTACCTTTAAAACTGAACCAATATTTAACCATTTTATTAAGTTGTGATGCTTAGTTAATTACTACTTATGAGTTCTTTGAAAACTCTGCACAGAGAAACAGTGATTTGTCATTGTATTGTCTTCACCTCTGAAATACAGTAGCAATCTATTGGTTAGCCAGACTGCACTGCCATGCCCTTCTAATTAAGGGTATAAAGCATACTTTGGGTTAGAACTAGCATCTTCTTGAATCAGTTCCATTCAAGCATTCTTACAAACTTAACTCAGAAGGCAGAATGAAAGAGTTGGGGCGGGGGGGGAGGAGGAATGATGCAGCATTCCATAAAAGAAAGAAATGCTGGGAAATTAACTGAATTCATAAGAAAATGTCAAAGCAAATTAACTTTTAATACCTTTTTTATAGATAAACATATATAAGGCCTCAAACTGTTTTGTGGATTTGTTGTAATGTCTACAATTGTGTATTTGGTATTTTGGCATTACACCAATATCTCAGAGAATGTAACTGCACTTTTTTGAGTTAGTATTAATACATCAAGAAATACTGAGGGCATGACAACAAAATTCTGCCATAAGTACAACCCTCCATACATACTTTAACAGCTTTAAACCAGGATATTATATGCTCCTAACAAAGAAATTGGAACAGCACAGAACACCATAGAAGTTCACTGCTCAAGTCCTTGGAAATTACATGAAGTTCCATATTACTTTAAGTTTCTGAACTAACTAGCTTAAAAGCTGGTTCAGACAAGTCTTCCACAACAGTAACTGCAGTATGGATTTTCTTCAGGTTACTGGATACCTCCCCCTGGGAGGTATAGGTATTTGTTAATAAATAAATAAATAAATAAATAAGGCAATATCTAGAGCTGACACATTATATACTGCAATATCATTTCCTTACTGAAGCCTAAGCCCCCACAAATACAAGCGGAAAAAAATTAAATAAATCTTAAACACAAAAAATATTCTGATCTCAACGATCAGAATGTGGTTTTCCGTCTTCTTTTTCAAACTTCTTCCACGATTGCCTCTATAAATTTTAAGAGTTAAAAGTGATATGACAGAAGCAGTTGCTTGCCTCAGTTTCTAAATATTACTTGTCTGCACTATGAATATATTTCTAGCAAAACTGGGAAAAGGAACCGCTTTTCCTGCCTTCCAGGTTCCTCCTTTCTGTTACACCTTGCTACAGGGTAAGCATTTCAGAATGTGAGACCTCTGTTGAACCAGTTACAAGAAAAGAAAGTAGTCAATGGGAGGAAAAGAACCCCAAAAATAAAAAAAAACAAAACAAACCAAAATAAAAAAAACAAACCAAAATAAAAAAAACAAACCTAACCAAAACTTTCAAAAGAACTTGGGTCTTTATTTCAGGGTTAGGTTGTGTTGGGTTTTTTTTTTCATTTTATTCTATTAGTTTTATCCTCCTGATGTAATGCATATACTATAAAATCAAAGCAGGAAATTCTGTATTTCTTAGTATTTAGTTTTCTATTATATTTGCTATATTTCCATTCCAAATAGAGTATACAGCTAAAGTAAGAGCCACAACAGCCCCCTCCATTAAGGATTTTGACCAGAAAAGGAAGATAAAAAGTCACAACTGAGAGTGGATTAACTGAAAAACCAACCAGGTGTCTGAAAATCACAATTAGTTAACCATTTTGAAGAATTTTTAAATAGAACTTAGACCATAATCCATTAGCCACTTTTTCAATTAAGAAGGAATTTCTGCTGCTTAAGAGGTATATTTTAAAGGAGAGACAAAATTTGGCATTTTTTCTCCTTTTGTTTTCTGTATGAGCATTTAACGTAAATAAACAGAATAGTAACAGTAAAAAGTGCATGAATGGTGACTCACAATCAAGAAATACAGGGACAAAATAGCATAATAACTAATCAGATATATCAGTTGGAAAGTCAGTGAAAGTTACAGAAAAGTGATTACATCCATTTGACAGAGAAGGAAGAGAAGTGCCAGAGCATGTTGGTGTCTCTGAAGGAAAAAGTATACAGAATATTCCCACAAGAGAAAGATTTGCAGTAGCTACTCAAACGTAACTTCAGACATTAATTCACACTGGGATGTAAACAAGCAGAAGGTAAAGCTCAGAAGTTTCCAAATGGTAACAGTAATAGAAAAACTGTATTTGCAGCAGTTAAGGTATGCACTATAAAAAAAAAAAAAAAATTATATTTTTTTTCTATTATGCCAGAACAAATATATTTTTACAATTAGCTTTTACTATTTTGGGGTGGGTTATTTTTTCCTTCTTTAATATTTTTGCCCCCCCAGCTGATCTCACCACCCACAAAATCCCAGATCAAACAATATAAGTACTTTCACTGGTCTGTTAATGAGAAATTGTACTCACCTTTTGAGGTCATCCTTGGTTGTATCTGGATGGAAACTTAATACATGAAATTCAGCTCCACAACACAGCAATATAAATGCATCTATAAAATAAAATTGTGCAAAGCGCACAGTCTTATGGAACTTTTCTTTGTCCTGAAATGCAAAGAAAATTATTAAGAATGGATTCTAAGATATTTTTTTTTTCTTTCTGAGATTCCGGGTGTTAAGGCAGTTTCCCTATTTATCCTGATCATATGCCAGGAGGCTAACCAACTGTGTAGTGGCCCTTCCTATTTCTGACATATGTTAATCTCAAAATAAGGTTTTCATCCTACTTAAATTAGTCGGCAATAAAGTTAATAGTATCTAGAGTTTACTGAATCTAATAAAATCTAGCTTCACACTCAACTTGCATTTGAATTGGGGAGTAGACTACAAAGTCAAGTAGAGATGAGCCAATGAATATAGAATAAACAGAGCAGAAAATAAACCCAAAACTTCCAGACACGCCCTCTAGTTTTGTCCACCAAGGTTGGTTTTTTGTTTTCATAAATTATCATGATAAAAGCTTAATTTGAAGCCAGTGAAGACCACCTAGATCATAGTATCAGTTGGATACACCACCTTCCAGTAGCTCTGAAAATGAGACGGCATGTTTCTTCTACAGAGCTGTTAAAATGGAAGTAGATGAAAGTGCAAAACAGTGACCTCTGTGAACCAAACCATGAGAAGTCTCTCATTACCAGAATTAAGGCAGGTTCATTATTGCAGACTGACCAGACTCTTAAAGTTCTGTCTTCTGATGCAGAAACTAACCACTTCTTGTCATGACTCCAGCCAACAGAGTTAACTGCACCATCATGACCTAATAAAAATAATAATGGAAATATCATAAAGGTCATTTCTTGCATTTATGTTTCTCCAGATTTAATTACATTGTTTTAATATAATTATACACAATAGTAAAACACATTTTAAATAAAGGCTTCAAATGGTTGAATTAAAACTGGTAACGCTATACCAGTTTTTGATTTTTTTCTTCCACCAAAAATCATGGAAAAACGCCTCTTGTTAATAACCAGACAATGATAATTCTGACATTTTCAAAGTTATTGGAAGAGCATTTCCAAGAAACATCCTTGGTATTCAATTTAAGCAAAGATACATTATTGAAAAGAGAATCTGAGTATTGTATTATAATGAAATTTTATATTAAACATGATCTGGAAACAAGACTTTGCAAATAGTTGCAATACTTTATTTTATTCATCAGGTTTTTATTACTGAGTTGTCTGCTTTTTTAAAAACACTATGAACGTGCCACTACAACAGCTTCTGCAGGACTTTCTCATTAGATAAAAAAATAGAAATGTAACTGCCTGTTTAAAACCATACTTTAAAATATTATAATCTCCAGTTAATAGCAAAAAGCTTCTACAACAGACTTTTCCAGTTTGGTGTCACACAGTTAAAAAAAAAATTAGAAACTTACAAAGAAAGAACTTCAAATGCCAGAAACATCATCCAGAAGCTAAAATTATTAATGTGATATAAAATCATATTGATGCTGATCAAAAAGGTCAAAAAGAACAACATATGTTAAACAGTTTAACGAACTTTGGCCCATATTATTCAGATTTGTCCAGATGAAGTCTGATGAATTTCATCTAGACTTAAAACATTCAAAGTTCTTATGCTGCCCTCTTGTGCACATTTTCTCTTGACTCAACTTAAGTTTTATATTGCTTTAAACTACAAGAAGGCAAATCGATTTATCTCAGAAATTAACATCTTCTATGATAATAAATATCCATAAAAAGGCTTATAAACAAGATATATTAATTCCCAGTTACCAAAGTCCTGTAGAATTTTCAACAGAATACTTACACATGTAGTTATTGAGTACCTATGTAGTTCTATACAAGGGGGTAATGACAAGGCGTAATGGCTTTAAACTTAAACAGGGGAAGTTTAGGTTAGATATATGGAAGAAGTTCTTCACAGTGAGGGTGGTGAGGCACTGGAATAGGTTGCCCAGGGAAGTTGTGAATGCTCCAACCCTGTCGGTGTTCAAGGCCAGGCTGGACAGAGCCTTGGGCAACATAGTTTAGTGTGTGGTGTCCCTGCTCATGGCAAGGGGGTTGGAACTAGATAATCTTAAGGTCCTTTCCAACCCTAACTATTCTATGATTCTATGATTCATTCTATACTTATTTTATTCTCAACACAAACATCTATTTGAAGGCTTTGGTTTTGTAAAACCATCTGGAAGCCTTGAATCATCTGCATTAAAGAAAAAAAGTAAAAAACCCAACCAGGGACAACAAAAAAAACGCCTTACCAATTGTTTTTATACAAACAATTTTCCTAAATGGTAAGGAACATGAGAAACTTTAGGAAAATATAAGATTTGGAAAATTGGAAGAGCCATGCAAATAAAAAGCTTAAGAATCTCTGCACTCTAGGCCCCCCAGTCCCAAAGCACAGAGAGGGAGGTGCCAGCTGGCTTGCAAGAGGCCAGTAAGCTTCCAAACAGGCATTACTCAGGGTCCCCCATTCCTGAAGCACATTGAGAAGGACAGCAGCTGGCTTTGTAGAAAGACTTCTTCAAAAAGTCCATACTGGCTGTAACACTTTTAATGCTGGTCAGCATTACCTGCACTTCACTATAGGGCACAGACACTTTAAGAGCCAACACTGAATAGGAGTGCAGAACTACTTAAAACTGTAACTGAGCACTTCACAGAACAAAACTGAATAAATTAGGCTTATAGCAAAACTGCTGTTGCTATACCCCTGCTCTCGGATGGTGCACTATAAAAATTATTTCAATAAACAGCTATATTCAGACGTTAATGCTGTGTTGAAACTGATCTTTTTTAACAGAATACATATTAGCCATTTCTTGAAAAAGGAAAGTTTTACATTACCACTGATAGCGGCTCTGAATGAGAGTAATGCATTGTAGTTTTTAATGAACAAAAAATACATTTATTATGACACTTCAAAACCAAAAGCATCTGAAGTAGAAAATAAAATAGGTGATTTCATGATAATTTGAACTATACATAAGAACTACATGAATGAAATAGAATCACAGAATCATAGAATAGTTAGGGTTGGAAAGGACCTTAAGATCATCATGTTCCAACCCCCCTGCCATGAGCAGGGACACCCCACACTAGACTATATCGCCCAAGGCTCTGTCCAGCCTGGCCTTGAACACTCCCAGGGTCAAAGCATTCACAACATCCTTGGGCAACCCATTCCAGTGCCTCACCACCCTCACTGTGAAGAACTTCTTCCTTAGATCTAACCTAAACTTCCCCTGTTTAAGTTTAAACCCATTACCCCTTGTCCTACCACTAGAGTCCCTAATGAGGAGTCCCTCCCCAGCATCCTTGTAGGCCTCCTTCAGATACTGGAAGGCTGCTATGAGGTCTCCACACAGCCTTCTCTTCTCCAGGCTGAACAGCCCCAACTTTCTCAGCCTGTCTTCATACGGGAGGTGCTCCAGTCCTCTTATCATCCTCGTGGCCCTCCTCTGGACTTGCTCCAACAGCTCCATGTCCTTTTTATGTTGAGGACACCAGGACTGTACACAATACTCCAAGTGAGGTCTCAGAAGAGCAGAGTAGAGGGGCAGGATCACCTCCTTTGACCTGCTGGTCATGCTTCTTTTGATACAGCCCAGGATACGGTTGGCTTTCTGGGCTGCAAGCGCACACTGCCTGCTCATGTCGAGTTTCTCATCAATCACCACCCCCAAGTCCTTCTCCGCACGGCTGCTTTGAATCTCTTCTCCGCCCAAAATAAGCATGTAACTGATGGTTTGCAGTTCCTACAGCCCTACAGAACGGTATCTGACAAGGTTACATTTATGTTTCTTTTGAAAAAAACTATATGCACAGGTTGCACTCTTATGCTACTTAAAGAGCACAAAGAACTTGGTTTACACCAAATTTATGTTCTACTTACTGTTCAGAGTAGCACTGCTATAACCAAAAAGACAAAGTTCTTGAAAATCATTTACATTTTAGTTTCTTCAAATTACTTAAAAAGATGTGTTAATAATCTGAAGAAACAAAAAATTCTTTGGGCACGACTGTTAATCTGTTGTGTGCCAGTACTATATTATTAGTTTTACAGATGCTTGTAACAAGCAAGGAAAGGAAATACAGAATTTTGATCTCTTTCGGTTTATTGCTTTTTTTTAATTCTGATTTTCTAAAGTAATGTTAAATATATTCAAGATATATGAGGTTCCTTTGGATAAAATTACTGCTTTTGTTCCAATAAAACCTCACAACACTATTCCTGTGTGCTGTTTATATAAATTGCACTATGAATTTACTCAAATTAGTCTGTGATACATAAAGAAAAATAACTTAAAATACTCTAATTCTATACTTGTTAAGGTCTGCTAGTAAATTACAGTCATCTTCCATTATGAAATTCCACAGAAAATTCATTTAGCAGGACTCATTTAAAACCATAAGATTTACCGTTATTAAAAATTTCACAGATAGTTCTTGCAGAAATTTAGAATTCATTTTTTAAGGCTTATTTGCAATGCTAAGTAATGCAATATATACACAAGCATTACCATTACAACTGCCTTTATTATTTCTATTTAATTATTATAATATACATGCGCAAGGCAGACTGCAATATATATTGTGATAGATTATTATTTACCTCCCAAAAAATATGAAATGGGAAAACCTAGTAAGCAGTTTAATTCTAAAACAAAATTAACCAATCACAGTAATTAATTCTACATCTTGAATTAGCAGTATCTCCTCTCCCTTGTTCTTCTCAGGGTGATATAAATGGAATCTTTTGGTTACTATGCTATTTTAGGTTAAACTCAATCATATATTAAATAATTTCTTAAATAATATAGTTCATAAATCTACCTGAAAAAACATTATATGTATCAGCGAGATTGGAACTGAAGATCAGCACACTTTTGTCAGCCAGGCCGCAAGCCAGCATCTCTCCATCCCCTATAAAGAAGAGTGACGATTTACATTTGAAAGCAACAAGGACCTACATAATAATGCTGTCTCTTTTAATCATAAAAATGACACATCACTTCAACAAAATACAAAACAGATACTCATTTCATACATTTAACACCTATTTTGTATGGACATCACAAACTCATGTTGCAGAATTTGGCAGGAATTCGTACACAATTAATTACTTGACCTGGCATATTCTGAAAACAGTTATCCATCACAAGGTAGAATTTCACTTTTCACCAAAAAAAGGCTACAAAATCTAAGTTCATTGGTCTTAATAAACCATGTCACATAATTATCTTTTTTTCTTTCTGCACACTGACACAATTGTACATTTTATAAAACCTGTACATACCAGAATACTGAATGCAACAAATTGGGGTCGGTTTACAAGTTACAGATATCTCTTTCTCATATTTGATTGGAGGACAAGTTTCCAATGGATATTCTTTATTTTTACTTCAAAGATGGAAAAAAGAGAAAGAGAGGAAAAATATTAAGATATCTAAACCCAGTACCTTTGCATTTCACTTATGAAATAAATGTGCTTTGGGTGTTATTCTAAGCATCTTTGTATAAATATTTCCTGGAAAACATATGATAAATCCAACATAAGAGGCAGGATTAATTTTAAATCATCATAATTAAATTACTTGTGTTATGAATTCATGAGATTAAGAATTAACATAGATTGGTACATAAAATCAAACTTCTTAATTTGCATACCTATTTAATAAAAGTATTTAAAGAATGCAAACTGTCCCTTGTTGTGACAATAAGCAATATGAAAATATCTTCATATGTGAAAATAAGAATTACATTGATCATTTATTTAATCAAGATAGATACTGAAAGAACACCACACAAAACTTAAAATACTAAGTAGCTTAACCTATCACAAAATAGCACAAACCAATCTTGAAATTATCTGAAGTCTTCATCTAAAGTGTGCGAGGATTACAAAAACTTAGTTTTAAGACATTGAGTGTTTTTTAACACACTAATAGGTATGTTTTTTTTAAAGAGAACAATGATGGCATTAATTGTTCTTTACTTGTATATTTGTAGTACATGGAACAAAGACTATGTAATACTAAAGAGAAATTAGAAGTTCCAGTGAGACCTTCGAACAGACCTGTATTTATCCTCATTTTAATTTTTTCCTTCTCTAATGGAGTTGCTAGATAACCTACCATTTACAACTGGTCTTCCACTTAGATACCTTATTTTTCTTCAGATTATTAACTGGGGAAAACATGGTCATTCTACAAAAAAAAAGAACACAGATTCTCCTATATGAAACGTGAAATGTTGTATAAGAGAAATAGTTTATTTCAAACAAAAACCAGTCCAGCTTCCTTCTTACTATTCATGTCTACATGCAATGTCAGTAATTAAGATAATGCACACATTGATGACAACGTAACTTTCTAATGATTTAATGCTCAAGTTTGCACCCAAGTTATGTTTTCTGTGTGTTATCTGTTGAATAATGCATTCTGAAGGTCAAAATCCATTGACATGAAGTTCTCAGATACGCCTTTCTGCAAGCTGAAGAAACAAGAGTTTAATCAGATGAAAGAGACAGAATGCCTAATACAGATATTGAAAGGAAGTTGAACACTGGCCAGAAGCTGTGAATATTATGGGGTTTTTTTTACAACATACTTTTTAAATTGTTTGATAACATCGTATATGTTTTTCATGAGTGATTAATTTCACAGTCATGAGACTATGTGTCTCTTATGTGACAAAACATCACACACCAATAAAATAGACAAAATAGTAATGCATCTACTCACCGTGGTGCTGCTGTATAACCTGACGATTTAATTTTATTATGGAAAACTAATGGCTGATCTTTCACTGTGCTTTTCACTCCTGTAGTAAAATAATTTAAGTTACATTAAAATGGGGGGGGTTTTAACATCATATTTTTACAATTATGTAGATAGGCTAGCACAGGAGAAATACTTGATGTCTCCTTACATTATGAAAAATATTTATTATCAGTCATGCTAAAATAATGATTTCTAAGGAAAGGAAAGAAATATGAACTGTTACGTTGCATAACATCTCTCCTCCAACAATATCAGTGAGAAAGAACTTCTTTAAACTTTGAATTAACAAGAATATCATTCTGAGGAAGTTTTTTCAGCATTCCTTCACAAATGTGTTTTCTCGAGGCCTTTTTTATGCTTTGACTTTATATGCACTACCCATACTGTATTCACACCTTATACTTGGAATATGGGATGCATCTAAAGATCCTTAAATACTGTTGATGGGTAAACATAGATGCTTGGGGTTTTACATGACTTAAGTCATTAATAATGTCTGCATTCACATTACTGTACTAAGAAGCCTGAAGGGAAGCCTCTAGCCCAAAACTAATTATTAGTATTTCATACCAAAACAAACAAACTAATAAAATAAATGTCGTAAAGGGGGAAATCTTGTTCATTCCCCGGGAATACAGGGAAAAATTTCAGGTGCATTGGGAGTGATCTCATGGACATAGTTATGTATGCTGAGGATAGAAGCTCCTTCAGCTCCTACAAGCTATCCTTTCTCTTTGAGAGTCAATGAGACAGAGAAGTGCCACTCCTGGGAAGCTCACAGTACCACTTGTCATAAGAGACCACAGAATTTCCTTAGAGCACCTAATCTATCTGAGCATGAGGTGTCATAAAGGGTAGTAGTACAGGTATCAGTTCTAGGTGTCCAAAGCAGCTGTATTCTAGCTAAAACACCATAGATGCATTCTTGGAATATCATACAACACTAATGATATAAGCTTTGACATTCTACCAGGTCCAACAAGTACAATCAATATAGTAAAAAATTATTTCTACATGTCGACAGTTACCAATATTTTTATACCTTTCCTAAAGAAAAGGTGATGATGGAAAAATTATTTTGTAAGTGCTTTTTGGACTTTGCTTAACTGCTGCAAAACAAAAAAGCTACAAGTGCTTCAACGGCAACTGGAAGTCAGATTTGGCTGGGTTTTTTTTTTTGTTTGTTTGTTTTTTGGTGTTTTTTTTCTTTTAACAGTAGGATACTGAGGCAAAAATTAACTTCTTAAACTTGCAGATATTGACAAAAGACTATTCAGGACAATAAAATTAACCATAACAGGTAATCAAAGTTAAGAAAGAAACAACAAATTATACGGAAAAAATATAGTGTATGCTATGGAAAAAGAACAACTTATGAAAAATTTAAACATTCTACACCCTAACTCTTAAAATCCACGTAAAGTTCTTACAGTATTGTTTTTCAAATAAGAAAAATACCTTATTACCATCATTTTCACTACAATTACATATGCAGGCTATGAAACACTGCTAGAAGTATAAAATTCTTCCAATTAAAATAAAAATATAACGCAATATATATTTAAAACAGAAACAATATCCTAGTTGTATTAGGCACCAGCCAGTTGTGAGTCAGTTACTTTTAATTAAAAGAAAAGAAAAAATACAACTGTATTAGTTAATTTCAAGATTGGTTTACACTTACCAAGTTTTTTACTAGAAGGTTCTTTCATGTTTTTCTTTAAACCTTTACACAATGGAGAACTTTTCAGTAAAGAACATCTAAGTTATAAAACCAAGCACAAAAATCAATCAATGCAATGCATGAAAGTATCATATTAGGAAAAGGTGTCAAAAATTATTTTTAGTTATTTGTGTGTTTGTGTATATGTATATGTGTGATATCAGTGAGATTTTCATTAATATGAACAAGACAATGGATTAGTTATCAGCTCAGATACCCAGCTGCACAGGCAAGCCGTGGCCCCAAGTAAATTCATAACTATTGCATTTACAAGTTACATCCCATTTCTGTGACTACTACCTGATGATTTTATTATAAGCACCAAAATCTGCACTTCAATGTATATTGTAGGGTTTTTTATTGTCATCAAGATGTCAGTATTTTCCTACAAGTCATAAAATAGTTTGGGTCGGAAGGCAGTAGTAGTCAGCATGGATTCACCAAGGGGAAGTCATGCTTGATCAACTTGCTATACTTCTATGATAAAATGACTGGCTTAGTAGGTGAGGGGAGAGGGATGGATATTGTCCACTTTGACTTCAAGAAGGCTTTCCACACTGTCTCACATAAGATCCTCATAGAGAAGCTGATGAAGTATGGGCCAGAAGAGCACACAGTGAGGTGGACTGAAAACCAGCTGAACAGCCAGGCCAACTGAGATGATCAGTGATACAAAGTCTAGTTGGAGGCCATTAACTAGTGGAGTACCCCAGGTGTCAATACTGGGTCCCTCACCATGTTTGCTGATGACATAAAACTGAGCAGAGTGTCTGATACACCAGAATGTTGTGCCACCATCCAGAGGGACATCCACAGGCTGAAGAAATGGGCTGACAGCAACCTCATGAAGTTCAACAAGGGCAAGTGCAAAGTTCTGCACTGGGGGAACAGCCCTATGCCCCAGTACTGGGCTGTAAGGAAGACTCTAGAGCCAGTCTCTGCGCTCAGTGAAAGGACAAGAGGCAATGGGCAAAAACTGAAAAATAAAGGAGGTTCTGTCTGAACACCAGAAAACACTTCTTTACTGTGAGGGTAACTGAGCACTTGCACAGACAGGTTGCCCAGAGACATTGTGTTGTCTCCCTCCTTGGAGAAAATTCAAAACTCATTTGGACATGGTGCTGGGCAACTGACTCCAGGTGGCCCTGCTTGAGCAGGGCAGTAGGACAAGATGACCTCCAGATGTACCTTACAATTTCAACCATTCTGTGATTTCTCCCACTCCATACACCTAAAGCACGACAGAAAAAGTAGTAAAATAAAACCCTGTCAACAAATAGCACTGTACAAAACCATCCAATGCACTTCAGTGTCAGGAAAACAAATGCATAACACAATTTAGAACTAAAAAACATTTAGTTATTCTGTACCTGGCAATAACTGATAGACTCTTCTCATTTCCACATGGGAGAAAATTCCTCTGCTGAGTTCTCACCAATGCAGTAAGGTTAACTTCCAACACAGCAGTCATATCTTCAAACACTGATGTGACCAAGCATAAAACCTGCAGCAATTATATCATCAAATAACACTCTAATTCATAATTGAAGCTTCAACACTGAAGTATTTATAATGGAAAATTAAATCACTTTCTGTCATTTATGAAAATTAGTAAAAAATATCCATGAGTTTAATCTTGCAAAGCATGAAAGAGTAAGAAGTGGTTAATGCTGTTTTTCAAAAATATGCTTATGATGCTTAAATGTGTATTAACAACCTTACCTACGTAAGTCTCAGAAATTTCAATACGTTCTACAATAGAGATTTCTGCAGTAAGAGTTGTGAGAAAAGCAGCACACGTGGAAGAAAGACTGGTTTCAGAGACATGCTGAGAACACCCTGAATTTAAAATAAAATCCTTCTTTAAAACAAAACACTGCTGTGTTAAGTATGTAGAAAGGCCTAGATTGAGCTTAGTTCTGTAGGAAAACTGTAACATCAAAAATGGAGTAATCAGACAAAAATTACTTTCACTTCCTTAAAAGCACTTTTAGTCACTTTCCACAAACATTTTTTCACAACTTAAATAGTTTTCACAGATTTCTTGGAAGGATTCAAAAGCAGTTCATCCTAATATTTGCTTGAGAAACAAGGTGTAACAATGCTTGTATCTTTTTTCCCCCTAAAAGATTGCTGCTGCTTCCCCAGTGGTCGTTCTTGAAACTCAAGGTACACACTGAGCACTATAAAAAAACAATACACCTTTTGCTTATTAATCACTTTAGACGGTATGCAAATTATGAGAGCTTTAAAGCTACACAGCTATTTAAATTAATAGATCCCATAAAGAAGAATCAACCCTTTCCAGAAAAACTACTGTGTAATTCACATCAAGAAAAAGAAATGTAAATGTGTACATCAATCTGCAATCAAAATGCATTTTTAGTATTTATTGAAAATATTTGAAAATGTAAACATTCATTAAATCTATGTTTACTGTATACTCACCTTTCCCTTGACTGCCTTCCTTGTTAATGCACACGATCTGACAAACTGAATGCTGAGGTCACTGAAATCTTTACCAAAAAGAACATAGTGCTATAAAACTGTATTTGCATTTCAAAAGAAAAAGGTATCAGCTCTAACACATGGAGAAAACAAAACAAACTCATCCTAATTTGACACCATTATAATCCACCATCTTCAGTGTTTATCCATCTAGCTTACTCCCACATTATAAAGCAGTAGAATAACATTCCTTGTGTTTAACACTCATGAACTGCAAAATCAAATAAAAATTCATTGCTAGCCAGTACCAAAATTTAGTGACAACGCATCTTCTGAGACAAGTCAGCAGTGCCAGAAAAACACAGAAATTAATTAGAACGAACATTTAAGGGAAAAAAAACCCCCCCCACACACAAAACAAACAAACAAAAACAAAAAAAAAAACCCCACACCCAAACACTTTCTACTGTATTCTGCTATTTTGCTATTTTACAAACCAAATTGTTATACTATTTATATCAGGTAACAAAGGAAAGCAATCACATTATGGTATGGTCAGATATCTTATAATCGTACCTTTGTAAGATAAAAAAGCTTCTAATTCAAAGTTTGCCAGATTAAGTATTAACAAGCCAGTAGAGCTTCCTATCCAAAAATAGCTAGTATTCAGAGCAGAACATCTATTAAGAAAGGAGAAAAAAAAAATATCTGAGTATGATGCTGAAGCTTTCCTAATTACCATATAAGACACAGCAATTCCTTTTTTTAATACTTGCTACCTAGTCCCAGTACAACAATAATAAACACCAAAAATGGTTTCTAAATTTACAGCATTTTTACAAAATCTGTAGCTCAAAATAAAATCTTTCAATCAAAATTGGTAAAGTTTTGAAAACTAAGAACAAGACACAATCCTTGCTTTTATGTAAGTGCTCATGGCAAGTCTAAAACAGCATAGGAAATATTTTTCAAAAACTGCTGTGGTTTATAACAGTTGGGAGGTGCTATAAAAGCACCGTATACACAAAGAGTAAATTCAAACAAAGAGGCAAGTCTACATATTTTCTTACTTTTACCACCAGTAATATGAACACATAAAAAATGGTGAAATTTAAGGTGTCTTTGTACATAGTTAAAGTACTAGTGAAAAAAACAGCACAAACTACAGGGGAAAAAAAAAACAGGCAAGCCTGGAACGTCTGTCTGTCTGTGCTTAGTGGCAGTAGTATTGCTGTTAAGTAATGAAACCCAGTCTTCACAAACACCACAGAGTAGACCAACTGGTTACAATTTTGGTCAACACCCTCACAGAAGAAAAATGTTATCGAGCATAAGATGATGATAACAAAGTAACAGTTGTCGTTCTCAAAAACCAAAAATGTTTTGATGCCACAGCAAATAAAAATTGACATTAACATTTTAATACATTTTCCAAATCAGAGTGAGTAAACTTATTGGTTTGGTTTCTGAAGTCAGACCACAAGAGCTGACGCAAGGGTATGGAAAAATATAAAGCTGAAACTTGGCATGAAAAGACTCACCACAGTGGCTTTTTTTTTTTTTCTTATATTTTAAAAAAAGGGTATAGAAACAGTCAAATACTTCATAAAGCAGACTGGGAAAGAGTTTCAGTTCTGGTTTGTGATACTTATATGTGCTCTATATAGTTTTATTTGTGGTTTGCGCTACTTTCATGCATGGCGGTAACAGACTGATTTAATTTGTGAATTCTCTGAATTATTTCAAAGAAGTGGCACTATAAGGTTATTATAAATAATGATATCAACTGATAGATACAGGAAGTTGATCTCACACCCGCTTTACAATAATAGAAGGCCATCCACTGCGTCGAAATTACTCAATGTCAAAAAGCTTATGGACATATGAGACATAATTTTTTGGACATCAGTGTCGCACAAATGTTTCACTGTTGTACTTCATTTCAGGCAGGAAAAATGTTAAATCAGGGATTATTCAGTTGTTCAGAAGAATCTGAACCACCTGCTAAAACCAACACATGGTAATTTTAAAAGTGAACAGAAAAATACTTCTAAATATAAAAATATAAACCCAAAAGATAATGGAACTGGATTAATAATAAGAATTTAATGCTCATGGTTGTTTATAAGCAGAACAAAACCTCCAACTGTGATGCAATAACTGAAAGAGTAAATAGTCCTTAGATATACAATGCAGTATCAGATGAGTATTAGAAATCGATGTTATCTGAACTCAGAAAGTTATTCCAATTAACCTATTACCAGGGACCCATTTCAGACAACCCTGTCCAAAAAAAGGCATTGAAAAAGAAATGAGACTGAGTCTCTCAGCCAAAAGTTTGGCTAGAACAGGTTATGTAATTCAGAGATCATTTAAATTTAGAAAGCAAACAGACACAGGCACACAGTGACTGCATCAGACGTATTTCCACAGGAAAGCAAACTAAAATAAATTTGGCTTTTTGATTCCAATGGGCTTCTTCATTTTTTTTTGACTGATATTTCCCTGATCAACTGGCATCAATAGATGCTAGAATGAATATTCCCAATGCCATTTTTATAAAATTACTTTTAAGACAAGAAACCAGTTTTAACTGTGTATCACTTTATGTATATTATCTGCCTAAGAGGAGGCCACCAAAACTTGCAGATAACTAAAAGTATTCTTTGATTCTCCTATTGTATGTTTAAAATAGTAAGTTGCAGTGAAAATAATCCAAGAACCAACAGGAACTCCTAGGAATAGATTCTGTCCAAATATTTGGTGGTATTTTATGGGACTTACCTGTTTTCTTCATTATGGAAACACACTAGAAAGTCACAGTGTTCAATTAAGAGGATAGGAAATGATGTTTCCACTGATCCTTCTGGTCTCACGGTTTTTGTTTTGCAAAGCTTGGACATATTTTGCCCTTCACCTAAGAAATACAATCAACAACACTAGCTATCAAAAAACCATGAAATAAGGGAAACAGGATTTAGTAGAGAATTTGAAGTACTATAAATAAATACAGTACTATAAATAAATAGATAAATGAATTGCTATAAAGTTTTAAAGTAATAAGGTAGCATGAACAAACTCCACACTCCCAAAGTTTCTATTTCAACGGACTGATATAGACTAAGATAGCCCTCTTGAAATATCTTTCCTGATTATTATGTTATTTTTAGTACAGTCTTCTTTCAAATTCCTAGAGATAAAAATCTAAAGAACCTACTTATGGACTTAAAAGGAGTTGGCAGAATTCAGATGTGTCTATACCAAAAAGTGACTCTGAAAGCCATATTCTAACAACCCTTAAATATGCTGGGTAACTTTCCACTTAGTCTGAAAATTCCCTTGACCCTAAAGTTATAACGTAATCCAAAAAGAAGATGGAAAGCCACCTCAGTTTCATCCTCCCAAGAAGTCTCCAATCCATTATGCACGTGTAGTTAAAACCTAGGAATGACTAGCACTGAATTCATCATTAGGCACAGACTCTATATCACTCTCTTTCAAACATCCAAAGGCTAAAATGCCATCCATATATTTTAAGTAATAATGAGAAATGTAGCAGTCTTTCTCATTAGAATTACTGAAGCTGGACCACTAGGCATCTAAGAACACAACAGTCACTGAAGCCAGAAAAAGAGCAAGCAAGGGAAACGAGATCTCTCCCTAAAGAAAGTTTCCTCTTGCTTGCCTTTGGGAGGACCTCATCTTGACTGGGGTGCAGGTAGCCTGCATGCCTCATATGGGAATGTGGAATCACCTTGCTGAGGTGACCAAGTGCAGTCTTTTAAATTTATAAGTACTCTGTGTTATAACACTGGAAATGCCACAGCCAGAGAAATATCACATCATGGAGGCACCAGTATGGATTTAAAAAAAAGAAGAAAGAAAGAAAAGATTACTAGAAGTAGCAAAGGTACCCCACTTAGACAGCATATTCATTTTTAGGCACCCATTCTGTTCTCACTGAAGTCTTGGGCAATGAATTCAGTGAAAACCAAATACTTAATAGTTCACATCCTGCAATGCTTTATAAGCAGTTGCATTAGCCAAGATTTTATTACACGCATATAAGCATAATTCTTTCCAGATATGTCACACAATTCTTTCCTGATATGCCAATACCCAACTTCACATCAGCTTCAGTAAGAATTCCATGCCACAGTCTGAGACTCATAACTCTATCACTTATAATAAATTCTCGTTGTATAAAAAGCATACACTCAGTAGCCAAAAACTAGACTATACCATAAACAGTATTCAAAAAACAGTGTGCTACCTATTTCTTTTCCAGATTTCAACACTTCATTATAGAATTTCTCTTGTTTTTTCTTTAAGTTGATACGTGTTACACAACGATAATTATGATCACTGATTAAACTGAAGATCCAAAGCTGCAAGAAAAAGAAAAAGCAATTGCAATAACCTTTTGACAGTAAACATGAAGTTTACATGAATACAAACTAAAGGTCCAATATTTAAAGCTATAAAGCTGTTGAATTTTTGTATCTGGAATCTCACCTTGGACCAAAAATTCACGTACATGCATTTCTAAGATTATTAAAGGATATATTCAATATTAGCAAAACCAGCCATTATCAATTTGAACTGCACATCTAATTCCCATATTTGAAGAAAAAGCCTCATAGACTATTTCCCACATTAAAAATAACAAGTAACCTGCATGTAATTGCTCAGTGAGTCATGTACATTAAGTACATTTATACCTCTCTGGTTTTAGGCAGCACTATAGTTAAATCTTTAACTTTCTTCACAATTCACTAAGCAATAACACTGAAGGAAAGCAACTGGAAAATCTTATGTAAATATAGTCTTAACAGTAAAGAGCAGGTAAAATGCATCTTCATATTTATCATATATTTATTAGAATTTCAACATGCTGAAATCATAGTCTCTTCCATTTATTGTCCTGTGTTTCATTCCTTGGCCAGAAGAGAAGAATCCTATTTTCCACCTTTTTTACTTTGAAACAGACATTTATAGCCTCACAGTGTACTCTTCTTATGTAATCACTGATTGTGCTCTTAAACACTTCCCTGGTTTTCAGAAAAAAGTTTGCATTTTGTAACAGAAGTCTTATATACCATATATGATTTGTGCTCAAAGCATTGAATTATACTTATTAAAATAACTATTGTAACAATTCAAAACAAATACGCAGATTGTGAAGCTTTTTTATCAACAGATACATTAACAATAGATGACTGTTTTGACAGAGTCTTTTATGGGTAATTCTCACCTGTCCCTCAGAACATCCAGTGATAATCTGTTTATTTTCTTCATCAACCAGCAGACTTAGCAAAGGAAATGCTAGTTCAGAAAAAGATAAAATTATTTCCAGAGTAGACACAAATCAGATATGTAAATCAAATTGAATCCTCCTATTTATAAAAGTGAGTGGGAAAAAAACCCTTACTTAAATTCCTATGGTTGCACAATACTTTCTGTGGCTAAGGGCTTCCCATCTACAGGTCTGCAGCCTGCCTTTCACCTACACTGATGTGGTAGTGATTTTCTGCAACCTTTCACCCAAGCTGCTGTGGGATGGTTTTCAGAGCCCCATGTGGCAGTTTTCCCTCCTTCCCATGTTGTTACTCCCATGGCCTTGCACCTGCAAACCATGACTGTAGTTAGAGAAGGTTTTCAAGGGAAGCAACTGCCACAGGCAACCAGGGGAGAATCACCCCTTCTTCCTCTCCTTTCCTGCCATGTGGTTTTAGCTTTTAGTTTACATGAGATAGTTAAATAATACATATGCACAAAGCCTAACAACCAGTCTCCTCACAGCTCATGCCCCCAGAGTGTGCTCCAATAACCACTAGCAGCACCATAATCAGGAACAAAGGGGAGCTGGAGCAAGTTCCATTGAAAACTATATGTTTCTTACAGGGAAAGTACTATTGGAGGAGGAAGCTCTGCTGCGCTGGAGACAATGCTTGCCTTCCTCCTTCTCGTCTCTCCTTTTGCTCTCATCTTGCCACAAAAGTATCTTTCATCTTTAAAGTCAACATATGCCATAAGCTGCAGACACTACTAATAAATCTACATATGGCATAGTATTTCTTTCTATGTCATATATAATACTAGAAAGAAAACAAGCACATAGTACTCAGAGACTGGAAATGTACCTACAAAACAAGAGCTCTATTTGCTCATCTCAGTAAAATGGCAACAGTTACATACACACCCTGTACAAAAAGAGCTGTTTACAAAAGTAAACTAAAACTATCTAACACATAGAAGTACACATTAAAGGAAAATATATTTACTACTGGCTTTAAAGGATATGTTTACTACTAACTAGTCTACTAGACTTATTTTCACTAAATCAGTTAAATACTTCTATAATAATTATGTGTTATTGTTTAGGGAAAGGAATTTTTTGCTATGAAAATGTATATATAAAAATAAAGCTTACCTGTTAATACTTCTGACTGATGAATTAACTGGCCGGTAGCATAGTCCCACACCTTTAGGAAAAAAAAATACACAGTCAACTACTTAGACCTTTAAGGAAAACAAACTTCAAAGGCCATCATGTGGTGAAAACAGAGAAATACAGCCACTAAAAATGATGCAATATGGCAAGGATTTCTTTCAGCACTTTTTTCTAACTACACAGAGCTTTGTTTAATTGGTAAGTATCCATAGTGAAAAAGGTGAACTCACCTGGTATGGATACACAAAGTACTTAGAATACTTATCATCTTTTCTAAGGCTGATCTCTTAGTGACTTAAACTAAACTAATGAAAATACATACTTGAACTGGTTTTAAATTTCACACAGGGACCTTGCATAATTCCACAGTTTTCATATTGAGCTTAGGAATAAGAGGTCATTATAATAACAGTAGTTATTATGATCTATAGACCCACATATAAGTCAGCTTTCATTATTAACATGACTAAGTGATGAATTCTATACCAAATTTTTCCTCTCACGTTGTTACTTCTATGAGCCTTACTCTCCACAAATACTTTCACTACATTATTATAGTTATCACAGCTGGGATTGAAAAATACGCAGCCAGACAGTCCCCACTTTTTTAAAGTGCAACTCTACAATTTCCTTGCCTTAAAGGTTCTGTCTTCTGACACTGATACAAGCATACTTTTCTCCCATGTGCAAAACTCAGCAGCAGTCACTGGAGCCAGGTGGCCATCCAATTCAGCTAGAACAGCTTCCTTCTGTGATAAGTCAAAATAAAAACAGATTATATTTCAAATTAAAAATTACAATTAGTTAAACATTTTAATAATTAATCACTGTTGCTAAAATTTGTCAGATTTGGATCCAAAATATTATTTCAATAAGATTTTTCTTATTGAAACTGCAGCCCTATATATCATCCTGCTGGCAAAACCACCACACATTTACATTTGCTTCTTCAGAATGAATGATATAGGAATAACTTTTCAGATGTCCTCAGAATGTTTTCTTCTTGTAAGTGACTGTGACACCATTTCATTTCAATTTTCTAATCTAGTCTTCTACGTGGTGTATGATGCATTATGAAGCATTAGTTCATACTTATTGTCATCTATATGAGAAAAATTAATGCTTTTGCTTAACTGTACTAATATTTCTGTATCATGATTTTGTTTGAAAATTAGTAAGTTAAAAAAATACCAGCATCATATCTACAAAGAATGGCATCTCACCTTCGCACTTAACATGTAGATCTGATTTCCAGCACATACGGCCACTTGTTGATCATCTGGACTAAATTTTACATGAAGCACCATTCCCAAAAGAGTTCCAATAACAATTCCTCGAGGTGTTAACCCTGCAGCAATTTCATTGTTAATAAGACTCAGTGAAATATAAAACTCTGATGCAGTAAGATTCCTAGAAACTTTTGTCTAACTACAGTCCTATCCCAGTGTCTGTCAGGAAGCTTTACAGAACAATTCACAGCTTTATTGTACCAGCTTATTGGAAAGCTAAGCACAGAACTGTGCACCAGCACGATTCCTCCATCTGCCTTGTTGCCTAGACATGATGTGGTACTCTTTGAAACACTAATAACTGTGCCCATCAAATCATACTTCCATGGAAGACTGTCAGGAGTAGGGTTATTTTTGGAGTAGGGTTATGTGCCCAAGGAACCCAGTAGCTCCATGTTCACTTTGAAGGCAAGAAATCCTGACTGGTGTTATCATATAAAATGACTGAAGCCCAGGAAAACAAGAGTTTGAAAAATACTTCTTCCAGGACAACATCCCAGACATTCAGCCATCAAGCAAGGGGGACTTTCTTTTTTCCTGGTTTTAATTCTTCTGTGGGATGAAAGAGGAAATACACCACTAAACATAATTACAGAGTCAGATGGTAAGTCTAGCTTTGAGAACAGGCTCATATTTCATTCCTTTCTTCACAATTGCATTATGGTCATCTCACTGCTTCAAGCAGCCTGGTTTCTGTAGTTCCCTGTTTTATGATGCTACCTTTAAGAGTGTGAGAAGGTTTTGGACATCTCATTAAATTTTAGGATTCCGTAGGCAACAAATTAACTAGAATACAGGCATAACAATTATAGGTGTCCTTTTATAAATTTCATTCTAGATGCTATGGAGTGTTTCTACAGCTGATTAATGTGTCAAGATCTAGCAGGATGGAGAGATGGATCAAACACCTTGATACAGTTGTTAAGAATATGGTCAGAGAAAACATGCCAGGACTGGGCAGAACACAGTCTGGGGAAAAAAAAAAAGACTGTACAGAATCTGCTGAAAAGCCTGCAGATAGAAAAAAGAAAGAAGTCCAGAAGCAGAGAATCTGGCTTTCAAAAGTCTTTGTACTAAAACTACACAGGACTCTGGGGGTTGTGCTCCTTTTCTTTGTTTTTCAGTATTCCACTATTTTCCAATCAATTTAAACTTGAAGAAGGGTTAGCACTGCTCCCTAGAATCTAACTCCATTGGTTGAGGCTCCAAACCAAGACAGTAGTCACGATACTAGATCTTCTGCTTTCTTTGTATCATGCCATCACAACTCTCTTTCATACATGCATTCTCCTCCCAGATCCTTGCATTGCTCACACACACACACCAGTGTTCCAGACAGAGGCAGAAGGAGAGGCAAAGCAGGATGTAAAACACTAGTTCTACAGATATTCCAGAAAAGGCAGCATTTGGTTATTCTGTCATTCTATGTTTAGTTACGCAGTGCTACTGCGATCAATTTTTTTCCCGTCCATGTTATACCACAGTGGCAGAACTTCTGCCCTGCCTTTCCCCGAGGTCTCCAGCGCTCGCCTGCTCCCGCCCAGCACCTAGGCCAGCTCCCGGGGCCACCCCGGCCCTGCACGGCGTCCACCGCGGGGCT